ATCACAGGGTTTATCTAGTACAAATGTATGAAAAGGTATATCGACCCTTTAATGTAGGGTTCACATGGTTTATCGACCCCTTGTTTTTCAATGAAAAATTTAAAGCCTTTGTTTATCCCCTGGTTTCCCCAAGCTTTGTATACCAAGGGTTAACTGCCAAGGTAAGGTGGAAATTTCGATCAAAATGTTGTCACTGGTTACCCGTTGTTGTTTTCAATATACCTCATATTTTTTCCCAACTTTGGATATAAAGGGACATTGTATTTTAAACATGGTTTTTTTAATCTTTAAAAAAATTAACACAGTTTTAAAAGCAGGGTTTTTCCTTTAATTTGGGGTTTTAAAGGGCCCCCTTTGGGGTTAATGTTCCGGTTTTAATTTAAATTTTAATTGCTCCCCTTTAATGTGATATGAAAAATTAAAAGCTTTTTACCCATCTCCTTACTTTCAAAACGTTATAGAAAAAAAATCTAGTTTTTTTTCTTAAATTTTGGGGAATCGTTTCTTTTGGTTAACTTTGATTTACATTAAAAGGGCCCAAAAATTTTTCTTTTTTTCTTACACATCTCTTTTTGGGTCAGCCCAAAAAAAATGTGACTTCAAAAACAAATTTAAACCCGCTGGAAAAAAGAAACTGTTTATTTCTTGGAAATATTAAGGAAAAAAATTTCTGTAGGGAAAAAAAAAAACGCCGTTAAGTAATCAAAAAAAAATTTTGAGAAATTCCCGGGCCCTTTTGTTCTGATAAACTGGGATATATATTTATATTTTTTCAAACTGAAAAGTTTGTCTCTGAAATGAATTTGTATTTGGGGGTTTTTTTCCCCCTTTAATAACGCCAACTTCCCGTGATTACCCCCCTTTAAAGGAAGAAAAGGGGGATCCTGTTGGAAGGGTTTTTCTTATTTTTGGGGAAAATTCCCGTTTTTCCCCCTTTAGTAAATTTTTAAAAGGGAAACCCAGGAAAATGCTTTTAAATTTGCTGCAAATGGGCCCCCGGGGAAAATAGGGGACCAAAATATTCCAAAGAATATTCAAAAAAATGTTCCCACAAAAAAATATACACAAAAATAAAACACTCAAAATTTTTTCCCCAAAAAAAAACGTATATTTTAAATTTAATACACCAAAAAAAATTCCAAAAATATTACAAAAAGTATTTACAAAAAATATTCAAAAAATATACACAAAAATTTCCAAAAAAATTGGATTAAAAAAACCCCCAAAACCAACCCCCAAAAACACACCCCCAAAATTACAAAATTTAGAAAATTTTTAAAAACAATTTTATTTTTAAAATCCAATAAGCGGGGCAAAAACCAATCTTAACTTATTATTTATAACGTATAAAATAACAAATTATAGGGGAATTCATTAACTGCACAATTTTGGGCTGCAAAAAAGAGTTTAATTTTAATTCGCTTAAAAAAATCCGCCCCGTTTTTTAAAATTTTATTATTTGTATCTGTCCTTGGGCAGACGAAAATGGGGACCCCGTGAAAAAATTTTTCCTTAAATTTCCTGAAGGGTCCTTCCCCATATTTTGTTCCTTATATTTTTTTTGGGGTTTTCAGAAAGGTCTTACCGGCAGAACTACGCTTAAATTCGTTTTAGTTTTTGGTTTGTTTATTTATTTGTATAAAAATTTTTTCGTCCCCGGGTAACCTGTGATTTCCCCAATCCCTTTTATAAAAACTTCCTTTACTTTTTTTTGTAAATGGTGGCGTGTGGATTTGAAATCAAAAAAAAAAAGTTTTTTATGCAGAACTTTTAAAAGGGGGAATCCCTTTACTTAGATTTACATTTGTTTTTTTTTTTTGTTTGTTTTTTAAAAAACAATTTTTTAAAAGGGGCCATTTTTAACCACCCCATTTTTTTTTTTAAACCGGGAACTTTTTAATTTTTTTTTTCCCCAAAAAAAAAAAAAAAAAAAAAAAAAACTATTTAAAAAGTTAACGCCTTTTTAAACCCTTTGAATTTTAAACACTTTAGCTTTTTTCTAGTAATTTTTGTACATGTTTTCCTACTTATGTAAATAATTTTGTTTTGTCTTAGAAATCTAGGACTTTTAACGCCCTTTATCTCAAAAACTTTTTGTCCCCCCTATTCATTTTTTAATTAAAAAAAATCTAAGGTTTAAACCTAAAAATTTGATTTCAAACCCATTTAAAACTTTTGATTTTATTTTTTTGTATTTTTTTCTGAAAATTTTTGGGGCCCATGTAGATCCAATCCCCAAACCCCTGATCTTGGCCCTTTTTTTGTTTTTTTCCCCTTTAATCTTTAAACTTTCAGTTTTTTTTCCCCCTTAAATAAAAACCTTTAAGTTTTTCCCCCTTTAAAGTTTTCCCCCAGTTTTGACAAAATTTATACTTTTTTTTTTTTTCTTTATAAAAATTGAAAAAATTTTATTTGGGAATTTGTTTCCACTTCCGAAACACAAATTTTAACTATCCCCTTGCACGTGAAAAACGCAAAATTAAAATAACTTTCGGGATTTTTTTAAATTTTAACAGTAATCCTTTGCGTTTAAAAGGAGTTTTAATGGAGTTTAAAATTTGTAAATTTGGTGTATTTATTTGGTTTTTTACGGGTAAAAATTTTACTCTAGTAAAATTAAACCCCAGGGCCCGGGGCATAAGGTGGGTTTTAAGTCTCCAATGCACATGAATTTTCCCCACATTTTTTTTTCCCCCCTTTAAAACCTTTTAAATGGCGAAAAGTTTTTTAAACCCCTGTTTTTGAATAAAACCCCTATATGTATAAAAAAAATGCCTTTCAACTTGATTTTTTTAGTAATCGGCCTTTGGAAAAATTCCTTAAATGTTTGTTAAAAGTTATTTAGGAATTGGGGTTGCTTTCTTTATTTAAATTTGATTTCCCTTGTTAAACTTTATTGTCAACGTTTTCCCCTTTAAATTTTTGGTGCAATGGGATTTTAAGGTGGGTTTATGGAATATTTTTAATTTTCTATTTTTTAAAAGTTTTCTTTTATCCTGGTTCCCTTCCCTTTTTATTCGTTAAAGGAAATTATATGGGCCCACTATTAAACCCGGTTTAAAAAGGGGGAAACAAAAAAAAATACATAAAAAACGGGCTTTATCCCCCGACAAAATTTCCTTTTTGGTAAAAAAGAAAAAAAAAAATAACGGAAATTTTAAAAGGATGTTTTTTGGTTGTTTATAAAAAAAAAGGGGGTTGGGGAAACACGTTTTAAAAACCCCATTAAGGGTTGGGCCCTTCTCAAATTGTTTTTAACTTTTAGAAAAAAAAGATTGTGCTTTAAAATTCTTTTGTAATTAAAAATTTCAAAAAAATGTATATATAAACCCAACAATTTGTTTATTTAAGAAAAGTAGTTTAAAACTGATTTAAACAAAAATTTAAAAGGTAAAAAGAAAAAAAAAAAAACAAAGAAAGAAAAATAGATTGATTGAATGAATGAATGAATGAATGAATGAATTAATGAATAAACGAACGAACGAATGAGCGAATGAACGAATGAACGAACGAACGAACGACTGAATGAATGAATGAATGAATGAATGAAATTTTATATATATCATATAGACGTCAAATTATCCAATCAAAATTGACGTTACAATATACATCTGGTATCAACATAACGATTAGCGATATCACATTTACTTTTGTTTTACAGTCATTAACATTAATATACCGTGGTATAAGTGACATGTTAATATTGTTAAACGTAATTTTATGTTGTGTTTTTATAGCAACATTAGTGTAATGTCGTTTTTATGACAGATGTGTTAAAATTATCTGTTACAACATACCAAAGAAATGTCAAATATAATTGGTACAGTTTTAATTCATTGTAATTTAAACATTTTGATATCATTATGTTGCCATGGTGTATCGATACATGAATTCGTAATTATCAAAATTATGTCCGAATAAAGAAAAGCAAATGTTTTAATTGTAGCGTATAGATTGTCTGTTAAGATGTTATATAGGATGCTGCTTGATGAAAAAAAAAGAAATGATGTAATAATTATAAACTTTGATTCTGCATGACACCTTAGACACATAACAGTGTAAGACAACATTTTGTAACAAATCATATTATAACACATGTGTTATACACAGAACAGAACAGAACAGAACTAAATTATCTCAAATCAACACCTAAACATATGAGAGTATGGAATAAGTGCAAAATTTCAAATACATGACATGTGGTGTGTGCAAAAAAAAATATAATAAAGAGATAATTTCACTCATTTCAAATAGTCTCCTATAGGAAAGTGCAGCGTGGGGTTGATGCGAGAATGACGTGTAGCAGGCGTTACAAATGTGTTACAGAAATAGTTTAAACATAGCTAGTTACGAATATGTTCGATGCCGAGTTTTGATGTAATCATATGATCACATTTGTAGTAGGTAAATTTTAATCTTTATATGCAAAATGTAGCAAAAAGTTCTGTACATCTTGAAAACAGTTGCCGCATTCTAGTAATTTCTGTTTTAAAAAAGTAATTTTCTTAAAGGAACCTTACTGAGGTCCAAAGGAATAAAAACATAGATTTTTAAAATCTTACAAATATCAAATGGGAAAAACTGCAAAGGACAACAAAGAAATATAATCAAGATTAAATTGAAAATCGATTTTTATGCGATTATTAGGGTAGCTAGATTGGTGTGAAATCAATTTCAAATTTGGGCTATTTTTTCACAATAAAAATGTTTATTCTGTAAAAACAGCATGAGGGAATGAGCTGGAAGATTTGTAGACATGTTATGGGATAAGTAATCAAATGGTACACAAATCTCGAAAAATAATTCCAGAAATAAAGTCATCTTGATGTACAAGACCAGCCCCTTTCCCCCAGGCCATTCAATGCAGTGATGTACATTTTAGGTAGATGTTTCATATGGGCAACAGCAAGTGGTTTGTGATAGAAATATTTTTGATATACATAATGCAAGTATGATAAATATACATTGTGTAATTTTAAATATATTTTATCTACTTTCAGTTTTAAGCTGAACTATTCTAGTAAAGGGAGAGGTGGTGGCAACGCTGCCAACAACAACGCTCCCAATACCGGAAGTACGTTACCAATCACAATGACGTCATCACAAGCGCCATTGGACGCGTCTAATTTATACAACGAATATTTTACGGCAGCGGAACATGCGACTGAGCGCGTGGCTACATTAGTTAATGATGACTTTGACTCCAATCATCTGTTTTGTCAGATGGACATGTTGAGAACTTATAAAAATGAACTTGTTTGGAAAGAAATGGCCAGGTAAAATCTATTTAAACGTTGCTCACAGTAACTAGGTGTAAGACTGAATGTGCATTGAAAATGTAACTAAAAATAATTTATCCTGATGTAGGCAACCATTTAAGTGTATGGTCAATCAATGACAAAACATATAACACTTAAAAGCTAACATATACGTACTACAGTAAACTAGTAATACGTACGTATAGCTTACATATGAACAATATATTTTTCAACTGTTTTAAAACTGTATTTTGTAGACTCAATACCCAACTGGACCATAGCTATAAAATTGCAAGACTTGGCACAATTTTGGTTACTGAATACGTATGATCACTTGATCAGTAACCCAGGTTCTATATTGTAATCATATAACATCATGTTAAAGTACGTTGTTCTTGCTGTGTAGTTTATATTACCATGCTTATCATAATCATAGAAGAATCGTTCATTCTAATATGTACACTAAATTAAATACCAAATTAAATGTTAAATAAGGTGGATACGTTACGAGGAAGCGGTGGAAGAAGGAGGACAGAGGTGGTCCAAGCCTCATGTTGCCTCACTTATGATGGAAGCTTTACAAGACCTACAGAATATTCTCTCAACTTGTCCAGTTATACTAGATAGTAAGGCAAGAACAATGGCTGATGTCGCAGGTAAGTGATTACTCATTGATTCATTCAAAGATTTAGCAAAATCTAGTTTACAGCATTCGATCGTCGTTACTTTCAATTTCTAGACACATTTGAAATTCTTGAGGAAATGATTCAATGTTTAATATAACTCACAGTTTCAAAATGTTGTTTGTTCCTTCTTGTTTCCGAATATATTGAAACAAAGCAAAATAGTTTAAATTAAATTTCGTCCAACACGGAAAATTGAAAATGTTAGAGTCTTTTATGGCTGCGCCTGTCAAAAAACGTTAATTGCATAAAGTTAATATTTATTGCATAAAAACCGCACAGGCTGGTTAGGAAAACGTGCATTAATGCACGTTGTACAATATTTGTGATGCAGAGCGCCAACTTCAATAAAGGCCCCAGTATAATATGCGAAAATGTCATGTCTGTTGTAGAAATCATTATTGAAAGACAGGTTGATTATTTTATATTTGTTGTAGAGGAAATCACCAATGCTTGGACGAAGGAAAGAGCTATCATGTCTATATTGAAGAATAAATTGATATCTGTATTACTCAAACAACATAAATTTCAACATTTCAAGAGAAGTGACTTGAAGAAGAAGGTACCGTCATCTTTGAACCTGCAGAAGATGCATCAAAATGAAGCCTATATTAACAGTAGGGACTTTTGTAATTTATCTAACTTAATGAAGCCTATATTAACAGTAGGGACTTTTGTAATTTATCTCACTTAATGAAGCCTATATTAACAGTAGGGACTTTTGTAATTTATCTCACTAAAATCAGCCTATATTAACAGTAGGGACTTTTGTAATTTAACTCACTTACATCAAATGTTGCCAAAATGTTATTATGCTTTGAAAATATATCACATCACATGTGTGCATTAGACAGTCATATTGTTTTATCTATATAACATAAGCAAAAAGAAAAAAAGGTAAAGAAGAATAAAAGTCTGAGTTTGTCATCGTAAACCCTATAATTGTGATGGATACTAATTTTATGTCTTTAACTCAAAGTTATTTTCATATGTAAGTGATTGTTAAGAACCTAAAATAAATCTAGATATTTCCGTGGTTTGTTTTGAAAATGTTTCATTTATTATAAAAAAAATATTTCTTAACAGACAAGTAGCATTCCATTTTCGTGTCACGTGCTTAAATTAAGATAATTTCATGTTTTATTTCAGAGGCTTACGAAAAGAACACGGACACTTTACACATACCTAACAACCTTTCAACGCCGAACACTGACACGTGTCCAGATTCCCCGTCACTTGCCATGGGAGAAGTAAGCATGTTCCTGGTGTCTCAAGGAAATAAATATGATATAATAACTTTTATCTTATGTCAGTCCTTTATCTGTCTGAAATATACGGAAGAGCAATAATGCCCGATGTTTTTTATTAACTCTAAATTTCGAGCTACTAACTCGAAATTTCGACTTACTTATCTCAAAATTTCGACTTACTAACTCGAAATTTCGACTTACTAACTCGAAATTTCGAGTTACTTATCTCGACATCTCTTATCTCAACACACATTTGGCACTAATGCTCTTCCATAGAAATAAGATAAAGGTGATTTATGGATAAATATCTATTTCATTTCGTTTCATGTAATAACTTTGTTATCTTTAAAAAAGTTGATTACAGCTAGGGAGAGGTGAGTATTTCCTCATATACCTAAAGTAGCTCTAGAATTATCTCATTATACAAAAAGATAAACAGGATGTTTATTTGTTTAGAAATTTTTAAAATTTACATTTATGCTTATTCTTAATTTTCTTAAAGCCACAATATGCCTCAGAAAAAAATAAAATTTTTACTTCTTTAGAAAGGGCAAACCTGAATTTTTGTAATATTTAAATAATGTTTTTAGAGAATATTAGATTTTTGTTACCTGATTCACTATAACAGGTAACTGGCGAATGAGTAACTTTTTGAATACTATAAAAAGTATACCACTATTAAAAAGCTTTTGAGAAATAAAAATAAAAACAATTCTGAAGCATAATGGGCATTGGTGAGTTTGCATGTGGCTATAGTGAGGCCCTGATGAGTTAACAAACATAGTGTTAACTTCAATTCTATACTGACTTTAACATATACAAATTTCTTCATTCTTAACACCTCCTTTATGGTTTTAGGTTTAAACATATTAATTTAAGCTCGATTGCAAAACAATTTCTTGCAAATTATATCAATCACTTTCGAGTCCGGCCAACCAGTACTGGTGTCAAATAAAGACACACGGTCGTGACCCGATTAGGTCTCGAACCTATGTTCCACAGGTAGAGAGGCAGACACCTTAATCACTAGGCCGTCGCCTCTTTTAATTAATCAATTAATTTTAACAACTTTACATAATTTACAGATGAATAAAAGTTTTATGAAGAAGATACCATCGGGATCGGAGGTTGCCAATCTTCTTGTCGGCGAAATTCCTGAACTTGATCAAATAATCGCTGGCTTTGTTAGACTAAAGGTAATTCTAGTTAAACTTAGACTGTATTAGTTCTAAATGCAATTAATTCAAAAATAAGATCACGTTGTTAACTGAAGTGAACTATGTGGTGTTGTTATTATTATTGTTGTTAACTTTAGTTAACCATGTGGAGTTATTATTTTAATGTGGTTAACTTTAGTTAACCATGTGGAGTTATTATTTTAATGTGGTTAACTTTAGCTTTAGTTAACCATGTGGAGTTATTATTTTTACTGTGGTTAACTTAAGTTAACCATGTGGTGTTATTATTTTTTACTGTGGTTAACTTTAGCTAAACATGGTTACTATAATGATTTTTAATCATGTTGTTATTCAGTTTAACATGTGCTGTCATGAATAAATGGGTAGTTAATTGTATAAATGGGTGATTGATTGAATAATAGGTGGTTAATTGTATAAATGGGTGATTGATTGAATAAATGGGTGATTGATTGAATAAATAGGTGGTTGATTGAATAAATGGGTGATTGATTGAATAAATATGTGGTTGATTGAATAAAGGGGTGGTTGATTGATTCAACCATAAGATAAAATACACGAGGTGCTTAAGAATAATTTAGCTAGATATATTGTTGATCTAGTATAATGCCTTAATTCAAATAAAAAAAAGTTAACTGAAACGTGGTTAATTAACTTAATCACGAGGTTATCTGAATAAAAGTGCAGTTAAGCTATGCACGACTTTTGAATATGTGAACAAATGTTTTATACATTTAGTCAAACTTAGTACCGATGTAGTTAGATTCTTTGTAATTTTTCGACAATGTAGGTCATTTAGTATATTGATTAACATTATTACTATATTTATCGTTGTTATTACTATTATCATTATTATTGACATCATTATTATTTTTACTTTTATTTACAACACAGGACTCCTGTAATATCGGCGACATTACCGAGGTAGATTTGAATACAAAGTTTATTTTTGTTGTACTTGGACCAAAGTTACATCTGGGACATTGTGCCGAGATGTGTAGATGCATGGCGACACTGTTCACTGACGAGGTATATAACTTAAAATATTTAGCCCCTCTCAGGTTATTTCTATGTTTCTAATTCAAAAACAAAACTTATTTTAACTGTCTAAAATATATATATAATAAATCCTAAACTTGCTCACGTTATATCAACTGACAGTTTTTGGCCAGTGTATGTTATTTGTCCGTCCGTTCAATCTCCATATAACTCATCCGAGGCATACACATGTGTACATTTTATATCACGTAACAGACAATAATAATTTCAGATCAGTTACAAGATTCGAACCTTTGGCCACTCAATAACCGTTTATTGCGATTTTAAAAGGTATCCCGTTGATCAGTTAGCAAAAATGTGACTGTCTACATTTAATATACATGTATATTATTAGTTATAAATATCGTTTACAGGTTATATGGCCCTATATAAACGGCTATTTGTAAATATAACCCGAGCAGTTAGGCTCGGGTTATATTGCAAACAGCCGTTTATATACGGCCATATAACCTGTCAACAATCTTTATAACGAATTTATAATACAGCAAGCATCATTTTTACAGAAAAACGTAAGATTTCTTCATAAACCGACATCAGCCGTGTATATAAAACTATATAAACGTCACGGTTATCCAATGAAAAATGACGTTACAAACGTGCAGGATTATAAAGTTGCCATAGAGAAAGAAACTATGTCCAGAACAATATCAGTAATTTTACGAATAGAGAAGTTACTCCGTTCAATAGAAACAACTTACTCTTTAACATGCAAAACAACATAACAAAGGGACCTCGATTTTTAGAATTATACGAACAGTCGTTTATAGAGGTATAATTTCTCAAAATCTTTATAAACAACAATATTATGTGTGATAGTTTAATAGCATATATTTTTAGATATTTCGGTGTGTTGCTTACCGAGCAGAAGATAGAATAGATCTGTTGTGTGGTGTTCAGGAGTTTTCTCTACATCTGACTGTGTTACCGCCAGGTGTGTGGGACCCGTCTACTAGAATAGAGCCACCCGACGAACTTCCGTCACAGGTACGTTCATAAAGAGAGCCGTGTCCGTGCTGTTTGAAAAGAAGAGACTAGTAAATAATCTATAAAGCATTATACATGTTCATTGTACATTTCATAGAAAAAAATAAATAAATACAATTCGTAACACATTAACGTATAAAATGAAGACATATTTACTTTTGGGATATCATGAAGGCTTTAAAATATATGAAATTGATTTTAGATTAATAATAATTAATCAAATGTACAGCTACATTCTATAAGTCTCGTCTAGTTTTTACTTTAATTGTTCATGTTTTTGAATTGGTTTTATTTAATCAGGACTACAGGAAGAGCCCCGGACCTATGACCAGCAGTAAAAGTGCCGTCTCTCTGGTAGAGATGGACAAAAAGTCTGAGCAAAGTGACCCGCCTGAAGAAAGTCACAGTGACCCTACTTAAACCCCAAACCCGGAAGGTGAAATTTAAAAAATTTTTTGTGCAAAGGGTTTTGTAAAAACCTATCTTTATATATAAGTATTTAAAGGGAAAGAAAGCTTGGGAATGAAAAATTTTTTTTAAGTAGCAAAAAAAGGGTTTTTTTAAATTTCCCAATATAAAATACAAAGGCACATATCATTGTACTTATTGCAAAAAAGCAAAATAAGCAAACGCTGGTTCAGCTATTTGGAGAGTGGATATATTTTCCTGAATTGTGTTTATTTATTTATTTATTTAATTTTATTGGTACTTTTTTAGATTAAACATGTTGCTATTTGGTTTTAAAAATGTCAATAAGCCAAGGGAGATAAATGTTACCGAGTATTTCATGAGGACTAAAACATTTGTTTCCCTTTGATTTATTACAGTTATTCGGTGGTTAGTTAATTTAGTCCAAAAAAAAGCTAACCCTTCTATAAGGGGATTTCAAAAAACTGCCTACATTTCAATGCGTGGATCATTTTTCTTTTTCCTTTTTCTTGGGGATTTGGACCCCCAAACCGTGAAACCCTTTGGGTTTATAGAAAAAGGGCAGACCAGGGATATGGAAACCCTTTTTTTTTTTAAAATTTAAAGTGTGTAATTCAGTACTGAACTTTTAAAATATGTTGTTTTTCAAATAGAGGGATTAATAAGTTTTGGTTCTGAAATTTTTTGTATGATTATTTTTTTTGAGTGCCTATGGAGTTATGCTTTATTTATAGGGTAAAATTTTGACGTTTCTGCTATTTAACGGTTCTATTGAGTGAAATGTTTGTTAAAGGTACTTTATTTTCAGTGGATGTATTTTTATTAAAGGTAAATGGAAGTATTTTATTAATAGGGTACAAGGGAGTGTATTTTTTATTTATAGGGTAAATGTAGGTATTTTAGCTCACCGGCAATGCTCGGGGTGAGCTATTGTGATGGCCCTGTGTCCGTCGTCGTCGTGTGCGTCGGCGTCGTAAAATTTGAACATTAACAACATCTCCTCTGAAACAAGACTCACACAACCAAACTTTACAAAATGTCCTTGGGTGGTCCCTTTCAAAGTTTTTTCAAAAGGTTCCGGTCTTTTGCATATGTAGGTCATAGGCCAGAAAAGGATTTCAAAAAACACAAAATTAAAAAAATATTCTTGTCTGAAAGTAATGGCCAAGTTGTTTTTGGTATTGGTATCATTATGGGTCTCAAACCAAAGTTGTTAAAATTTTTGTCCCTATTTCAAAATTTGCCCCCCCCGGGGGGGGTATAGGTTTTTCCTTATTGTATATAGTAAAATCAAAAAAAATTTCTTCTCTTTTTGGCAAAGGCTCAATAATATTTGGCATGAAACTTGGGTGTAGTAGCCCTCTATAAAGATTTTTTCAATAAGGGCCCCTGGGGTAAACTTTGGGCCCCGCCCGGGGCCCTTTTTTTCTTTAATACAAAAAGTAAAACTTAAAAAATTTTTTGGTCTGAAAGAAAATGCCCTAGAGCTTTGTATTTTGGTCTAGGGTATCTCTGAGGTCCAGTCCAAAGTTGTACAATTTGCCCCTATGTCAAATTGGCCCCCCCCCGGGGGGGCATAGGTTTTTTAATATTTTATTAGAAAAACATAAAAAAAATCTTTTTCTTGAATTGGAAAAGGCAAGGTAAAATTTTGACATGAACATTGGGTGGTAGACCTCACCAAGATTTTTCAAATAATGGCCCCCGGGTAAAATTGGGCCCCGCCTCGGGGGTCATTGATTTTTATTATATACATTAGTGAAAACTTGAAAAAAACTTCTGGTCTGAAAATAAAAAGCCCAGAGCTTTTATTGGTCTATGGTTCATTTTAGGGTTAAAAAATTTTTTTCCTAGAATTAAAATCGGGCCCCGCCACCCGGGGGCATTGATTTTTCCCCATATGCATTAGTAAAAACTAAAAAATTTTTTTTAAAAAAACCCCAAAAAGCTAGAGCTAAGATATTTAGCATGAAAATCTTCTAAAGGATGTCAATTTTTTCAAATAAAACCCGGGTTTAAAAATTGGGCCCCCCCCCCCAAGGGGGTCATGATTTTCCCTTTTCTATCGTAAAAAAATTAAAAAATTTTTTTTAAAAACCCCCAAAAGCTAGCAAGATATTTAGCATAAACATTTCTAATGAGTTCTTCAGTTTTTTAAATTTAAAACCCTGGGGTCAAAATTGGCCCCCCCCCAGGGGGTCATTGATTTTCCCTATATGCAAATATAAAAAATTATAAATTTCTTTAAAGAACCCCAAAGAGCTAGAGCTAAGATATTTACCCTGAAACATTTTCCAGTAGGTTTTCAATTTTTCAAAAAAAAAGCCCGGGTCAAAATTGGCCCCGCCCCGGGGGGAAATTATTTTCCTTTTATGTGTTAGCAAAAAAATTAAAAATTGCTAAAAACCAAATAGCTAGAGTTTAGATATAAGCATGAAACTCTCTAGTGAGTGTCAAATGGGGTCAAAACTTTCCCCGCCCCAGGGGGTCATGCTTTTAACTATTGTTAAGTTAAATCTTAAAAATAGTGTATAGTTAAATTTAAAAAAAATCTTTTTTAAAAAACTCAAAAGAGCCCAAACCCTTAGATGTTTGCATGAAATATCTTCTAAAGGGGGGTCTACCAAGTTTGTTTTAAAAAAAGCCCCGGGGGTTTTAAAATGACCCGCTCTGGGGCCTAAATACAGGTGAGCGACCTTCAGGGCCATCATGGCCCCCTTGTTCTATTTATGGTACAATGAATGTTTTTTCTATTTATAGGGTACAATGGAGTGTATTTTTCTATTTATAGGTTTTCAATGGAGTGTATTTTTTTTATTTATAGGTTACAATGGAGTGTATTTTCTATTATAAAGGGGACAATGGTTTTATTTTTATTTAATAGGGTACAATGGAGTGTATTTTTCTATTTATAGGTTACAATGGAGTGTATTTTTCTATTTATAGGGTAAATGGAGTGTATTTTTTATTAATAGGGTACAATGGAGTGTATTTTCTATTTATAGGGTACAATGAAGTGATTTTTCTATTTATAGGGTACAATGGAATGTATTTTTTATTAATAGGGTACAATGGAGTGTACTTTTCTATTTATATGTTTCAATGGAGTGTATTTTTCTATTTATAGGGTACAATGGAATGTATTTCTATTTATAGGGTACAATGGAGTGTACTTTTCTATTTATATGTTTCAATGGAGTGTATTTTTCTATTTATAGGGTACAATGGAGTGTATTTTTCTATTTATAGGGTACAATGGAATGTATTGTTCTATTTATAGGGTACAATGGAGAGTATTTTTCTATTTATAGGGTACAGTGGAGTGTATTTTTCTATTTATAGGGTACAATTGGGGTGTATTTTTCTATTTATAGGGTACAATGGAATGTATTTTTCTATTTATAGGGTACAATGGAATGTATTTTTCTATTTATAGGTTACAATGAAGTGTATTTTTCTATTTATAGGGTACAATGGAGTGTATTTTAGCAGCTGCAATATCTGGCGTTTTATTTGCTTTGTTTGCCGGACAACCTTTAAACATCCTGGGAAGTACCGGACCAATGCTTGTCCTGGAGGGAATTCTTTACCGATTCTGCAAGTATGAATCTCAAAACTAGATCTTTGAAAATATTTAAGATGAAAGATTTTGTGCTCTGTAGTTTAAAAAGCTTATTTCTTGTATTTGTTTACAGTATTGATTAAATGTGCATGGTCATACAATATACAAATGTACATCAATAAATTTACAATTATAAGCGTATGTGAACGTTACATAAGAAGAATAACAACTCTTATAATATTTACATATAGATAAGGAATATAAATGTCACTGTGTAGAGTTGTTTACCTTCTGTGTGTTTGAGCAAGGCAAAGGTATTTCGAGGATCCCGGTATTTCGAGGAACCCGGTATTTCGAGGAACCCGAGTTTGAGTCCTAGTCAAGCTGCATTTTTTCACTCTTGGCATAATTACTTTAAAAAACCATTGGTCTGTTTGAGGTTGCTTGAATTTCAAAACGTTTACTCCCTCATTGTATTTGCTGTTTCATAGGCTCGAGATAAGAAGTATTTGGTCACTTGCAGAAAAATTAGTAATTACTGTTTAGTTACCCAGGAATGCCGTTCGGTTGGATCTATCGCTGAGAATGCGTGAAAAAAACGTCGTTAAAAACAGAAGAAAAAAACCACAAATAAATCATCATTCTGTGTTTTATTAATTTATTGACCAGGTGCGGGAGTTTCTATTATTCCGTGTTTTAATTATTTCAGGGATCAGGAGTGGGATTTTCTACCATTTCGTGTCTGGGTAGGATTTTGGACCGGTTTCTTCATTCTCCTGATAGTTGCGCTTGACCTTAGTGCACTTGTTCGATACATCACCAGATTTACAGAAGAAAGTTTCGCCTGTCTGATTGCCCTGATATTTATCGTGTCTGCTTTTAAGAAAACATTTGGTATCGAGCACACTAAACCCGTGCATTTTAACCCTCCATCAGTTAAACCAGGATGCTTCTGTTTGCTAGGTGGAAATTCCACGATGAACGTGTCGGAAAATTATCTGACGTCAACCACGTCATTGCTAAATGCTGACGTCACGTCAACCACTCTTCCACAATCAATGTCGAGTGTAACATCACTGCTGTCGAATGTAACCCAATCACCAAATGTGAGCACGACGGAAAAGTATAAGCCAAGTTCAGCTTTAGAAGCCGAGTGTTTGACTCTTGGTGGCTACATGCAAGGAGTATGCGATGAAAAATATGTCCCGGATGTGTTCTTCTTTTCATTGATCTTATTTTTCGGGACGTTTTTCCTTGCTACTGTCCTCGTGCACTTCAGACACAGTCTATTCTTCCCGACGTTTGTAAGCATTTCTCATTCTTCTTACTCGTAAACTAACGAAATAAACTAATGACTTGATACATGTATAGAAATATATTGTTGTTCTGTCATGGTAACTAGATAGACAATGTTTTACAACTGTTTATAACCTTTATAGAAGTTGCTATTTGATATCATAATAAGAATAATATTTGCTCAATGTAACGTAAAATCTTGTACACTATAGTTTTCTACGTATTCACTAGTACATTCATTTTAAGTCTTATTTTCATGACAAAGATAATCATATTAAATATCTAGATATGTAGTAAGACAATGGTAATTATAACCACGACAATAATGTTGTTGACAAATATTTTCTAGGTTCGACAAAATGTCAGTGACTTTGCTGTTCTAATCTCAATTATTGTAATGGTGAGTGTAGATGCCACGTTAGGTCTACCAACACCAAAACTACTGGTTCCCGAAGAGTTCAAGGTAAATACGAATATTCGCTTATATTGTCTTTTTTTAGTCATTATATAAATGCATTCAGCGCTGAACTTTTGTATTATAGTTTTAAAGATGGCTATAAATTAATGACAGCTTACAATTATTTTCAAATATTTATTTTTCTATTAAGTTTTTATTTTATTTCTCTTTTTTCCTTTTTCAATTTAGCCGACAAAGCCTGGGCGTCCATGGTTTATCAACCCAATTAGTGAGAAGAATCCCTGGTGGTTAATGATACTATCTGCTGTTCCAGCTATGTTAGCAACCATTCTTATATTCATGGATCAACAAATTACTGCTGTTATTGTAAACAGGAGAGAAAATAAACTGAAGGTAAATTGAGTTATATGCCTGATTTTGTGAACACAATGCACAATACTTAGTCCTTGATACTGTTACAGTCAAGAACCAAAAATGTCCTGATAATTACCAGCAAAACTATTATTTTAATCCTTATTTGCAAACTTATTGCCCTTTGTTCTTTTTCCTTATCCGTTGCATAACTTAAAAACTAATGTTTGGAATTCAATGCAACTTCAATGGTCAAGCGCAATGAGACGAAGTACAGTGCTCAAGAACCAGTACTCTATCTGGACTTATGACAGAGTTATTTAATAAAACTTCATCAACGGTCAACCACTGTGAAAGAAAATGCAACGTACAAGAATCACAACTATCTTTTATTGCCCACAACCATAACTCAATATTCAATTCTTTTACAATGTATTCTTTTACTAGTAACTTACTTATTTCCGAAGCAGTCTTGCGGGGATATTAATCACATTTATTGATAGCTCTCGTTTTGTATGATGTACATGTATGTAGATAAGGATTATAATTTATTGTGTATGATAAACGTGTATTATAATTTATTGTTTATGATATACGTGTATTATAATTTATTGTTTATGATATACGCGAATTAAAATTTATTTTGTATCATGTACGTGCATTATAATTTATTTTGTATGATAAACGTGTATTATGATTTATTGTATCTGATATACGCATATTATAATTTATTCTTTATGATTTAGTTGTACTATAATTGAGTGTGTATCATTTAGGTGTATTATAGTTTATTGTGAATGATTTACGCGCATTATAATTTATTGTATATGATATACGTGTATTATAATTTATTTTGTATCATGTACGTGTATTATAATTTATTTTGTATGAAATACTTATAGTATAATTTATTCTGTATGATTTACGTGCATTATAAGTTATTGTTTATGATTTAGGTGTATTATAATTTATTGTTAATGATTTAGGTGTATTACAGATTATTGTGTATGATTTACGTGTATTATAATTTATTGTGTATGATTTAGGTGTATATAATTTATTGTTAATGATTTAGGTGTATTATAATTTATTGTTTATGCTTAAGGTGTATGATTTAAGTGGTGTATTATAATTTATTGTGAATGATTTAGGTGTATTATAATTTATTTTGTATGATATACGTGTATTATAATTTATTGTTTATGATCTAGGTGTATAATTTAAGTGGTGAATTATAATTTATTGTGAATGATTTAGGTGTATTATGATTTATTTTGTATGATTTACGTGTATAATTTAAGTGGTGTATTATAATTTATTGTGTGTGATAAACGTGCATTATAATTTATTTTGTATGATATACGTGTATTATAATTTATTGTGCATGATATACGTGCATTTTAAGTTATTGAGTATTATATATGTGTTTTATGATTTATTTTGTATGACTACGTGTATAATTTAAGTGGTGTATTATAATTTATTGTGTATGATAAACGTGTATTATAATTTATTGTGTATGATAAACGTGTTTTATAATTTATTGTGTATGATATACGTATATTTATAAACGTCATTTTGATATAGAGGATAGCATAGAAGTACAGAGATATTGCGTTCCTATGGTAATGACATGTTATGTCTTAATTTCTCTGGTTACGACCAGGATTCAAGTCAAATGCGAAAAGAAAATCTGAATAACCTCAAGTTGTTTACAAACTTTTACTTATTTTTTCTTGGGTAACTTATGACTGTATAAGGGCCATCCTTACTTTCTGTGTAGGTGACTTGAAAATTATGTGTGATACATGAAGAAAACATTTACATATAAATGCAATATACATAGGATTGTTGTTATAAACTAAAACAAATGTTGTTTTTCATCTACAGAAAGGTTCTGGTTACCATCTAGACATGCTGGTGGTGGGAGTTCTTGTTGTTGTTCACGGTTTATTGGGGTTACCATGGTATGTTGCCGCTACTGTTACAGCACTTGCTCATATTATGAGCTTGAGGAAGGTTTCCGAATGTACGGCTCCCGGCGAAAAGCCGACTTTCCTCGGTGTTAGGTACGGCATAAACAGAATTTTCTTGAACGACTTAATAATAATACTAATAATAATAATAATAATTATAATTATAATAATTATAATAGTAATAGTTATAAATAATGATAATAATAATAATATGAACCACCAGGCCACCGCTTTTTAAGGACTCGATTTCACAGTCACCTTTACCTCTTGTCTGCCGATTATATATAAATATTTCATACAAGAAATGAGAGGTTTATATGATTTTGAAGAATTTGTTTTTCGACAAAAATTTCTTAGAAAGTTAAAACTACAGGAAATAAAAGCAGAATAAAACATTAATATAGATGATATTTTTTGTTTAAGGGAACAGCGTGTGACAGCGTTTCTTGTTGGTGTTTTTAGTGGATTAGCAGTACTAATAACGTCTGTTCTCCGAGTAAGTGACTGGTTATTCTTTATTTGAGAATTACACTCTATGTATAAAAATGACACTTTGCTACAATTATAACAATCTGGTTTGCAAGTTAATCTTAAATTACGTTAGGATTCATAAAATACACCATGTGATAATATTGTATTAAATATAATATTATTAGACCATTCAGGAAAATGTTGCGATGCAAAAAAGCAAGTCAGTCACATATACACATGAATACGATTTTACTCGGACGAGATTTAAACCTGACTTATCAATATGAAAATGATATAATACAGTAGATACATAACCAAAATATATGATTTAGTAAAATTGTTAGTTTTTATCTGTGTTAGACATATATCAACTGACTATATGAAAATTCTAAAGAGTGAAAATATCATAAATAATGTTCAAGTGTTTTAGCTTAAACAGTACATGCCCATAAATAAAACATGAAGATTATAAATTTCTACCCGTCCTATAGGTGAACCATTAAGACAATGCACCAGGTGTTGGTAGGAAAAAGTTGTAAAACATATAATTTATTGAATTATTTACAAATGAGATAAAATACTGACAATATAGTTTTATTTTTAGTATATTCCTATGCCTGTACTCTACGGTGTGTTCTTGTTTATGGGCGTGGCCCCTCTTTCCGGGATGCAGGTTGGTGCAGATTTTTTTTAATTTTACAGTTTAAAACTGGTTAAAAAGCGGCACCCCCAAATTGTAGTAAAAACTATTAAAGGTATGATTAAAGGAAAATGAAGTGAATAAGTATTCAAAGTAGAGATAACATTTGAATTATTATCATAATTTATCATTTTATCATAAAAATTGTTTTATATTAGTAAGCTCGGTGTAATAGGTTGACAATTTATGTCTACATAACTTACAATTATAAATCTCTACGATTTAAGTGCAGACTTACTTTCCTAATAATTACAATCTCCTTATAACTCTTTGAAAAAGTGCTCTAAAGCGTTGTTTCTTAGCTATGTGACATCGAATCCGAGTCACGAAATGCGAGTTGAAAGTAAACAAATTTATGGTGTCGTGATAGCATGTTTTGTCACGTGATCTATTGCTTGTTATTTACAGCTGTGTCAGAGAGTTTTGTTGATATTTATGCCGGCCAAGTACCAGCCAGATTACTCTTACATCCGGAACGTGCCAATAAAGCGCGTGCACCTCTTCACATTGTTCCAAGTAGTATGTTTGGCAGGACTTTGGGTGATAAAAAGCGTTCAAAGCATTTCTATCGCCTTCCCATTAATGGTTTGTTACAAATTTGTTTATTTAACATAAAGATAGCTCATTTTACACTAAAATAAGTCCTGTATGTTTTTTTATATTTTATTTCTCAGTTTGTTTTAATCATAAAGCTTATAAATACGCTATAAGTAATAAAATATTACTGGTTTGCGATATGTCAAATAGCTGCCATTCTAGTTTTTGTCATGTTAGAAATCCTCATGTTATTTAACATCTTGTAAAGAGAACTGCTAAACTAGTTTACGACAAGCAAAATAAGTTATTAGTTTACGTCATGTACGGAAGGTGTAAGTCTAGTTTAGGTCTTTCATGGAAGTTATCAAGCTATTTGATGCCATATCATACAATTTAATATCAAATCATGAAGCTGTTATGTTAGTTAATGCCATGAAAAGAACTCTCATGATAATTGACGCCATGTAAAGAACTCTCATGATAATTGACGTCATGTAAAAAACTCCCGTTGAAATTGATGTCTTGCAAATAATTTATGATAATTAACGTCATGTAAAGAAATCTCATGATGATTGACGTCATGTAAAGAACTCTTATGATTATTGACGTCATTCAAAGAACTCTCATGAATATAATTCCAACCACTTAATTGATGTTTTTCAATGTTCTTTCTTGGTTTCAGGTGCTAATAATTTGCTTTGTGCGTAAAGGACTTGATCACGTGTTCACTCAGCGAGAATTGAAATGGTTAGACGATATATTGCCTGCTACACAGGTTAAGACAGGAGAGTCTGAAATGGAAAAAACAGAAGAACCTATTCTGATAAAAGTAACTGTAAGTTTGATGTTTAAGTCACAATAAGTTTAGATAAAAGTTCCGATAAGTTGAAAATATTAGACTCGCTTAGTTTAAAGTGACAGGCACGGTAAGTTTAAAATAAAATAGAAAGATGTTATTATATTCTCACGCAAAGTAAATCGTGAAACAATTGATGCAGTGAACTGTACGGTCTGAGAAAATAAAGTTTGTAAAACTATAAAAATGTTGAATTCAAGGGTCGGGACAATGACTGAGGTTTCTTTGAAATAGTAAAATCCGTTACTTTTAAATAAACAATAAGAAATGGTAGATTTAATCCAACTTACATGCTTTTCAATGTGTTTTCTTTCAATATCCAGACTGAAGATGGTGAATGGCCCGAGCCTCCTAGGAGCAAAATTCCGATTGTACGGACGCTGTCTGCCCCAGAGAAAGAATCCGGTACGGAGAATGGTGACTTACCGAGCAGAGAGGCGCTTAAACCAAGGATGAGCCTTACTTTCGTCTGTAAAACAGACATTGATAGAATAAAAGCCATGACACCAGAAGTCGTTACTAACAGAAGGCAATCCCTTGCCCTGGCAGTAGGCCGAAAACGTTCAATACAGACAAGTGACGGCGGAGGTACAGGATATAGCGCAGATCGTCGTAAATTTTCGTCACCGCTTATGATTGCGCGTAAACTTTCCGTAGAAGCGTACGCAAGTCCATTCGGAAATATTCCGCCAACTATAGACGAACATAATAAGCTGAACAAAATGTTGTCTCTACCAGCAACAATTGCAGACGAGAATGAAAATGAAAACGACTCTGACGAATCAAATAAAGACAAGTGATGAATGTGATCACGTGCTCAATGTTTTATATCTCTTATACAAACAATACAACCATATTTATACAAGATTTTATCATATATAAACTTATATTATATACGCAATGATTGATATAAAGGATCATATTAAAGATAACATGCAAGAAAGGGAAAAATGGAATAGCCTGATAATTGCTATATAGACGGAAGTTGAAATGTTCGGTAGTTTAAATGATCATGAGCTAAGAGATTCTAACACAATGTTCACCATCATGATACTGAGTGTTACATGCATAATCAAGGTCCTTATATGCAAGGTCATAAAAACAAAATATAAAGATTTTGTTCAGAGCATAATTTGCAGGGAGGTATTGCAGTACTGCTTGATGCAAATGTTCACCAACATGAGCCTAAGTGTTTCGCGCTTGACCTAGGTCAGTAGGTTAAAGGTTATAGTCACACCTACAGGTCAACAAAATAAAATTTCCACAGCATTTTTGAGAAGCTAGTTATCTCTGCGATGTGAAAAGTTCAGTACCCCGTTTGAACGAAAAAATGTGTTTATTAACAAACAAATTCTGAAGATCAAACTACATTTATAAATATGAAGGCAATTGTCCCCATTTTTCTACCTAATTTGTAGCTAGCCGGCAAATACAAAATGTATTACTTTCATATCTATATTAAACTTCTTACATTATTTAAGGTTCATTCGTCTGATATCTATGTTTTAGAAAGGTAAGATTTCATCATCGTTTGAAGGCACATGACGACGAGAAACTTACGTATATGTATTAAAGACATTGCAAGACGAGGATTTTTGATTTTTGCACCCTTGGAGAGAAGTCGCATTTTGAAATTGTCAAACGTTAGATAGGAGTTGGACATACCCACTGCTATTTCGTGGACAACTGAAAAAACCCACACTGTATGTGGCCGGTAATGCTAGGACAGACAATAGTGTAATTTTGGATCACCCCCCCCCCACCCTCCACCAACGCTATCTCTGACTTGTGGATTTAAGTTGGGTGAGGGATTCGAGGCTAATATTGTTGTTTGTCAGTACGGTCTATTGTACCAGTCTGACAAGCGACTTCCACGTAATCTACTCGTACAGTATATTTTGAAACTGTACATTTCTCTATAGCCTGTCAAGACTCAACATATATACAGGCTGGTCTGACACTATTTACTGGTGACTTTGTATCAAATAGTGGAACGGTTAATTCTGAGGAAAGACGAAAATACGTAACACAAAATAAATAGTTGTGTAATAATGTGATCACGATAAATTTTTATCAGAGACAGTTTTTATATTAGTATACTGATTTCCCGTTTCGGCGTTTTTGCACAGTAGGCCTACAAAATTTCCACAATTTCAAAGCTTGCAAATAGTGAATGAATGCTGTTTGATTATTCTTTTATTTATTTATTTATTGTTTTGTTTTAAAGACAGACGTGAGTTTACCGTTAGTATGACATACTTATTGCAGCACAGTTATATTATGTACAGTATCGGTAAAAGATAAATCGGTAACAAAATATGTAAAATACTGAACAAAACTGTGACTTTTTAATTTTCTTTAAAGCGTCTTTAAATCTCAGAAGTAAATTAATTGATTGGTTTTCTTTTGGCCGGAAGGTCAAAGATAGCCTACGAAAGTGTCAGCACTTATTTCCAGTAGGGTCCTCACCTCAGCAGATATTATATACAGCTATGAGATACAAGGGAATCTGGGAACCAGTTCCTAACTCTCATTGAATAGATCCTTTGATTCTTTTACATGCCCAGTGTATAGCACTGATACATGCGAGGAATACCTGGGTGTCGCACAGTATACCTCTAGGTAGGTGGGAAACACTGAGCGCGTTTCTGAAAAATCCCAAGGGTGTTAACCAGGATCGAACCCGGAACCTCAGGAGTGGTCTATCGCGCCACCTAAAAGGGTTAATGTAGAATTAGTTTTTTTGACTTTCTCTTGTATCAGAAATATTGTTGTTGAGGAAATATTTATCATGTTGACATAGTTTAAATAAACAAACATGTGTTGTGTATCTATGACTCTGTGCCTATCCTATATCTAAACACAGGAGCTTCCAATATGTGTGTTGATATTATAAATGTTACAAAATATTAAATAATCTTTAAAACCGCGCATGTGTTATTGTTGATGTTTACCATGGTCACGTGATGGTGTTATTATATAACCCTGTATTTCATTTATTAACATTAACAATTAATGTTTGTCAGCTGTTTATAAAGCAATACGACTTTGGTATCACCATGAAACATTTTCTAATTAAACAATAATATTGCTGAAGGCAATTGTTTCTTCCAAAAGAAGAACGCGCATTAATTTAAATATTTATCAAAAACTTTCGACTAGGTTTGGCCTCATGGACTCTACAAACATTCTTCTATAGTTCTAAAGGCACACAAGGTAGGTTTTTCTTCTTCAGTGGTTCTCATCTCATCTTGCTTATAGAAAACATACGGTCATTGAATCAAATACTTCTTCAACACTTTTTAAATATGAGCCGCGCCATGAAAAAACCAACATAATGCGTTTGCGACCAGCATGGATCCAGACCACCCTGCGCATCACTTACAAACCCTATAACAAGCCGAGAAAGTGATAGCAAACAACATGGATCCTGATCGGACTGCACGGATGCGCAAGCTAGTCTGGATCCACGCTGGTCACAAACCCATTATGTCGGTTTTGTCATGGCGCGGCTCATATATACGCTGGAGTCCCTTAGGCGTCCATCTAAGGTCCTCTGCACTTTCTAATGAACTTTAAGCAAATATTCGACTATTTGCTGACGACACTAGTTTCTACATTATTATCTAAGATCCCAATTCCTCTGCTTCAATAATGAATCGCGACATTTCAAAAAAAATCTTTTTGGTCTATAACTTAGCTTGTCTCATTTAATTCTTCAAAATTTGAACATGTCCTTTGTGTCATTTTTATCTGAATATGGTAATTGGACAACACATACGAGGGTGCTTCAAAAAAGTAATGCTACTTATGTGTGTCAATACTTAAATCGGACGTTTTGATTCAATTATTCTATTCAGGTATGTAGTCCGATTTATATATATATATAGCTACACAAGCACGAAAACTGGGTCCAAATTGCTTCAAAAATGACAAAGATATCTACTTGTAAATATGTGTTAGTAATATAAACTGTGTAATTTGTTGGCTCACTAATGTATAAGCAAAATAAAATAGAAATACAAAAGCCCGTGTTGCTTTATATATGCCACCAAAACAAATATGTAATGAACTGAATGATATTTATGGGACTTCCACGGTATCATATATGACAGTTTGCAGATGGGTTAAAATTTAAATCTGGTATATCCAGCATTGAAGATGCCGGTCGAAAGGGTCGCCCAAACACACCTGTTACCAGCAAAAATGTGTCTGCTGTTAATGCACTTGAAGAAGTAGATGGGCGATATAAAGTGGAAGAGATAGCCAATAAGCTAGCGGTTTCAGAAGGGAGTGCTCGTACTATTCTGACAAAAAATAGGGAAATGAAAAGGTATGCGCTTGTTGGGTCCCCCATTTACTAACCACGGACCAGAAAATGCAGAGAGTCGATTGTTCAAGAAAAAATCTAATTTGCAAACAGGAGATGAGACTTGTGTCTATATATTTGAGCCACAGAGAAGGTCAGACAATAGGCAGTGTAGAGGTAAAAAACAGAAACGTCCGGTCATAGCCAAACAACAGAAGAGCGCTAAGAAAGTTTTGTACACAATTTTCTTTCATTCTTCTGGTCCAGTGGTACACATACCTTCAAAGGAAGGGACATCTATTACTGGGAAGTTCTACAAGATCACTGTGCTGAACAAAATAAACAAAGTCTATATAAAGAAACAGCCAAAGTGTTGGTTTGAAGGGCATTTGTCTGCTTCATGACAATGCTCCAGTCCATAAAAGTGGGACTTTTTCTATTCCCACGACTCAAAAAAGATCTTTCGAGGCGGAGATATACGAGGATAAATAAAAAATTCTGGCCCGATGAACCTCCGGTAGTCAGAGAACCTAGCTAATGGTTTTACTTTTCAATAAAATCGCCCTCTACATCAATGCACTTTGCCCACCTGTGCTCCAACTTGTTTAACTTTTCAAATTAGAACTCTCTATTTGGTCATCAAAGAACTCATTGACCGCCTCCGTGACATCTTCATTGCTTCCAAAACGTCTACCACGAAGCTTGGTTTTCAGTGTCGGAAACAGGTAAAAGTCAGAGGGGGCTAAGTCCGAAAAATATGGGGGATGGGGAAAAATTCAAAACCGCAGTCAATTGAGGCAGCCATCGCAACCTTGGATGTGTGAGCTGGCTCAATGTCGTGCAGGAGCAGAACGCCTTGAGTCACTTTGCCCCTCTTTTAACGCGCGATTCCCTGCTGATGCCACCCTCTTGAATTTCTTTGGAGGGGGTGCGTCAGGGTGCTTCCACTTCAAGCTCTATTTTATTGGATTTTGGATCGAAGTGTTGGACCTATGTTTCATCCTGAGTTACGATCCGGTAGATAAAATCAGGTTCATCCTCGTAGCGAGGCAAAGGATATCTTGAAATGTCAAGCCTTTTCCGTTTCTAGTCGTCAGTCAACTGTCTGGGGACCCATCTAGCGGAAACCTTTGACATGCTATAGACATCAGTCAGAATTGCCTGAACTGAACCAAAGCTTATACCCACTTCCCTAGCAAAGCTTCACAGGTCTCGCCGTCTGTCGCACATGACCAGATCGTGCACAGCTTCGGCAGTTTCATCGTTGGTGGCTTCTTTTGACCGCTCAGGCCGCTCATCATCTCAAATGCTCTCCCCGCCCCTCTTAAATTCAGCAGCCCAATTTTTACAGTCCTCTAGGAAGGGGGCTCCTTCTCAAGTGTATCCATGAAGTCTTCATAGATTTCCTTGGGGACATCTCTTTCGTATAGAGGTACTTAATGACGGCTCTGATTTCAACTCTAAATGGTACACCCCTCTACTGATCAAAGTGTGTTTTATGTTACTTAATCTGTGTAAAACCGCGTGTTACTCGGTCAGTCATCGTTAGCCAGTGGAATTTATTGCCTGAACATGTAAAAAAACAGTCACAGAAAGTACTTTCAAACACAAACTCTAACTTGGGTGTAATTCTCTAACTTTTGGTGTGCATAGGAGAAACTTAATCTCGTCTCCTATGTGTACATGTGGTGCTATTAAAACTGTGTCTCACTTTCTACTTAGTTGTCCTAGGTATCACACCATACGTCAGCAACTCTTTAACACTCTACCTTAATTATCTTTTATTCGGCGGTGATCGTTTAAGTAAGAACTTAAATCTCAATCTGTTCACACTTGTCCAGGGCTTCAACGCTTTTTGATTCATAATTCCCGACACGTCATTTCCAACGTCCTTTTATTATTATCTTCTACATCCTTTAAAACAAGCAAAATGTATAAGAAGTTAAAAACATAAAATGATACGACATTTTGTTAATAAAGATCAGAATTGAAATGTAAAAACAAGCGCTCATGAAATATTTAAGACGAAACTTCATCATGGAAAGGAATTAATATATTAAGTGTTATGCTTGTTTTTCAAATCCATATATATATATATATTGTGATGTAAAATGATAAATGCTTGTAAATTTGCTAAATAAAATATGT